AAAGGGACCAGAAAGCTAAACTCAATCTGTCGTTTTATGCAAGGTCGTTACATCCGATCTCCAATGTATCACAAACGCCTCGCGTGACTTGTGTATGGTACACCACACAGACTGGTATAACAGGCATGCTTTATGCACAAAGCAATCATGGGTCTTCCTGAATCATCACATGATCTAGGCTACAGTTTTTCTGCACCTGGAAGCCATTGGCTTTTATGCTTTATTTTGCTGGAATTCATCCCCAAGCAAGCTTGGACACTATAGGGGCTAAGGACTGATGGTGTTATCTAGACAGCTGAAAAGCACAGCCGAGCTGGCGTCCTGCTCTTTTTCTCCCTTTCCTAGAGTAACATGCAAATCCCAGTCAGCTACATTCTGAATGCAACGGCTACAATCGCCGAAGCGGACCAGTACAGCAACATTCGTCTGTTCCAGGTATGACATACGTTGTAATAATTAATGGACGTCATGCGATTCAGATCACATGAGATGGTTTTTTCATGGAGTGGTCAAACTGTGGCAAGGTAACTGCAGAAGCACTGGTTTGCCCCTCAACATACCCTTGCTGTTCATAGCGCATCTTCCCATTATATACCAGGTTCCCGCCTTATCAGCAATCCACTCTCTTGTCTGATGATTGCCCCGAATGCCATGAAACTCTCTGTTGCACCAGGATAGCGGCTTTGCCACTATAAACATTGTGTACACTAAAAGTACAGGCGGTTGCAGTTAGTATTTTTTGTTATCATTTATCAACAAAAACATGGGAGTGACGGTACCTCTTCAGAATTACCCCGCTGCTGGCTGTTCAATTGGAGGTAGCAGGTATTGTCAGCCATGCGAAAAGTCTTAAAAAAAGTTTAGAATGCAACAGATCTTGTCGTGCTTGTCTTGCCTGTCTGTCTGCTTCACTCGTAGGTCAAACAGGATCAGAGTGCCACGCCGAAGGATGACCTGAACGGTACGTGGGTGATCAACTCTGCCAAGACCGTGCCACCGTTCAGTGCCGTCTGCTACCTGACGGCGCTGTGGATGAGTCGCATGCACTGGGGAAAGACACCCATCGGTCTCGTGCAGTCCGACTGGGGCGGCACGCCCATACAGGCATGGATGAGTCCCGACGCCCTGCAACAGTGCGGCGAGCACAACCAAGGTGACGTTGCTGTTGAAAAGACGGTGAGCATGGGTGCATCGCCTTGTGTACCTTGCGCCTGTGGTGTTGTTTGCACAGTTCGCATCCTGTATTCAACTTCAGTAAAGCCTGTCAAGGCGACCACTCTGATAAGGCGAACACGTATCCTAGAGGACCACTACAGCTAGGACGAATGGATGTTATTTCCAGTCAATTGACCCTGGATAAGGAGACCACCTGTACCCGAGGCCACATTTAGAAGGGCCCTTAAGCAGTTGGCTTATGTTAGAAAGGTTTCTCTGCATGCAGTTTTGGATATCTACGGGGGCAGGCGATGTTTAGAGTTTTGTAGAGATCTAGTAATGTTTTCATGGAGTTTGATCAGATTGGAGCTTTGTGCAAGTAGAAATCGACAGCATTTTGCCATGAAATTCGCACAGGGGAATACGTGTAGCAACACATTGCTTTGTGGGATCCTGTTTGCTTACATACAGGAGGATGTTGGTGGCCCGGGCACTCCCAGCCAGCTGTACAATGCGATGATTCATCCCCTGGTGGGAATGACGGTGCGGGCTGCCCTGTGGTACCAGGGCGAAGCCAACGTGCCGCAGGGTCGTGACGCGTACACATGCAATCTAGGGTCCCTCATACAAGTAAGTATCAGGGTTCTACAGAGCCAGTAGAATATTGTAGGGGAGAGGGATTGGCACAATTGTGCATGGCGAATGTGGGACGGGCCTGCTTCTACGGAATACTGTGGCATGCCTTTCTCCACATTTGCTCACTCAAGTTAACTCGGCGTTATGCAGAAGATGGGCCATTGAATCATTTCCCAGCTCTTGTTCATGCTATATTGAAACTCACCCATATGTGTACTGCCCAGATCCGGGCACTTCTGTCAAATTGCAACTCATCCAGACTGTTCTCGGTCGGAGAAAATAATCTCATAGAAAGGAGGACATACCAGGCTATGTATGTATGTATGTATGTATGTATGTATGTATGTATGTATGTATGTATGTACAGTCAACTTTGCGTATAACGACACTCGGCCGGGCATCAGAAAAGTGTCCTTATTCGCGAAGTGTCGTTATACCCGAAGTCTCATTTATGTATACAGGTAGTATGGACTTTGCTCTGGGCATGGAAATTCTGTCGTTATTCACGAATTGTCGTTATATCCGCAGTCGTTATTAGCCAAGTTGACTGTATAACTCATAATCACAAGGTGATCGCAGAGGCATTAATCAGCGAGAGAATTGTGAATGATGTCTCTGAATCCAACTCTATCGTGTGCTGCATGAGAGAGAGCATGCAAGGGAAGACCCGTCCAACTTTTAATGTTAGAAATCCATGATGTCGCGGGCCTTCCTCTCGGTCGAGATCCAGGAGTTGATCCTTGCAGGAAGGGCTTGGAGAAAACGTCATGTCTCGTAACATGGCCAAACCACATCAACTTAAATTTCTTGACTTCGTTCGCTAGCCGCATCCTTGCTCCGATGATGTCATTGATTTCTTCCAGGATAGATTGGTTGGTGCGCCGGTCGTGGTATGTTACTCCTAAGAGTCGGCGGAAGCATTTCATCTCGAAGGATGAAATTCTTCTCATTGATGAGGCAGATAATGTCCAAGATTGGCATCCGTATAAAACAGTCGCTAGCACAATAGACCCAACAAAACGAAATTTAGTAGGCAAAGAAAGTGATAGCGATTTCCAAATGAATTGAAGCTCAATGATCTTTTGCTTCCTGTACTAGTATCACGTTGCCACGTCACGTCCTAATATGACGTACTGGCATGTGCTTCAGACTCATTACGTGTGGGTGTGCTGTGCACGCATGCATGCACCCCCTGAGCAGATAGAGCTCTCAACCACGCGGTGTTCAGTGGTTGTAATTATTATTGCAATGGCATGAAGACAGTTTCGACTTTCTATTTCTCTTCCCGTTACTTTAATCCTATCATGCATTCAACTTTGTAAACCATATGAACTGAGTGGGTGTTCGTTGTGTCGGGTGCACTCTGTGTGCGTGCTTGAGATTCCCCGACAACTTTGGTGCCGAAACCCGTTGGAAGTTCTGAAAGATGGCTTCGAAGTTGGATGGATTTATTCGCCCGTATCGGGGCAAACAGGACGACTTTGATGAGTTCTGGGCTAAGTTTCTGGTCTTAGCCAAGGCCAATAAGTGGGCCGATGACGCTGCCAAGGCTGAGCATCTTCCGTTGTTCCTGAGTGGACAAGCCTTTACGGTTGTCACTCAATTGTCTGACGAGGACAAAAAATCGCCGGCAAAAATTAAATCTGCGCTGGAGCAGGCATTTTGCCCCACGCCTGGTGCTGCCTACCGTTCATTTACGTCAAGGGCTTTGCGGAATGGAGAGCCTGTGGACGCGTACCTGGCAGATTTGAAGCGCCTACTTACGCTGTCTGGCCATAAGATTGCGGATAATTCAGATCCCGTGCTGATTGAGCAGTTCCTGAGTGGGTTGCCAGCTGATATTGGTCACCACGTTCGTATGGCGTCTGCTACGCAGAAGCTCACTGTCACTGATATGGCAAATCAAATCAGAGTCATGCAGGCATCCAAACTCCCAGAATCCCATGGTGCTGTTGCTGCTGCTAGCTCTCAGCCCAAGAAGTCGCTCGTGTGTTACCAGTGTAAGGCCGTGGGCCATGTGAGATCACAGTGCCCGAAGCGTAAGCCCAGTGTCACCTGTTATGCCTGTAAAGCGAAAGGGCATATTTCCAAGGACTGTCCGAACAAGAGTCGAGTTGGAAATGTCGCTGCTGGTCACACGCCGCCTGAACGTACGGATATTTGCCTTGCTCTGGCAAAATCGGATGGAGACCTAGTTCGTGTAGCCGTGGACGTACAGGAACCCAGTACTGAGTCTAGTACGTGGACGCGTTTTGCCTCTGTGGTGGATTCTGGCTGTACTCGCACACTGGTGGAGTCGGCTGTTGTTGACCGATTGAACCTATCAGCTGCAGTTTCTCCCTGTCAGGACAAGCTGTTGTCTATCGACGGAACACCACTTACTATCCTTGGCAACGTCACGCTACGTGTGCAACGACTTGATGGAGCCGTCCATTTGCCTCGGATCACTATTGATTGTCTCGTTGTGCCCAACTTGTCGTCCTTGAACACGGACTTCCTGATTGGCACAGATACCATTGGCAAGGTCGGTGGCCTCACTCTACGTTACGACGGTCTAGGGGGCACGCTGTCCTCAGTTGTGTTTGGTCAGCAGGCAGGTGTCGCTGCCGGTGCATCTCCCCAACCCGAATCTGAGAAGCCTAACAAGCTTTCTCGTCACATCGATGTTACCGAGTCCGAGTCGACAGTCACCTTGAAGGCGAATGATTGCCTAGCTAACTGGTCGAATGAGCGTGGTCATTGGATTGCTCAGTGGTCGTGGAAGGGTGGCGTTGCACCCGAGCAGCACATTGGTTCCGGCATTGGAGAGTACTCGCGGAAGTCTCTAAGCGTCAGCGAGGAGGAGCAGTTTGCTTCAGAAATGAAGTTGTGGGTGGACAATGGATGGCTTGTCAAGTACGACTCCGAGGCATTCGGAGAGCCTGTCGCTGTCTTGCCGATACTTGCCGTTAGTCAGCAGCACAAGGCATCCACGCCGGTTCGGCCGTGCTTGGACTACCGTGCCCTGAATGCCTGTCTTGTGTCCCACCCCGGTGTCACCGCTCCAGCTTGTGACGCGAAACTCCGTGACTGGCGCAGACGTAGTGCCGACAGCGTTCTTCTCGACATCCGGAAAGCCTACCTGCAAGTTCGGATCCATCCCACCCTGTACAAGTACCAAACCGTTGTGTACAAAGGCGAGTTGTATACCATGACCCGCATGGGATTCGGTCTGAACGTCGCGCCAAAGATCTTGGACATGATTGTCCAATGGATTACCCGTGATCACGCCGACGTTGACAACTATGTGGACGACCTCTACGTCCCTACTGCCCAGACCGACATCGTCCGCCATGAACTCGCCAGCTATGGGCTTGAGACGAAAGAGCCAGAGCAGTTCGCAACTGCTCGTGTGTTGGGCCTACAGCTGTCCTCTTCTGATGTCGAAGATACAGTCACGTGGGAACGTCGTGCTGGTGTTGACCTCAAGTTGCCAGAGTCACCAACTCGTCGTCAAGTGTTCAGTTGGTGTGGCCGTGTGATTAGTCACTACCCGGTATGTTCCTGGTTACGCCCGCTGTGCAACTACATCAAGCGGCTTGTCGGCGAGAACACATCGAAATGGGATGACCTCGTACCGCCTCATCTCGTGCAACCATGTCGTGAGGTCGAGTCTCGTGTCCGTCAAGACGATCCTGTGCATGGTGTCTGGTCTGTGCCCTGTGATGACACCACAGTGTGGCACGTTTGGTGCGATGCTTCTGGCCTGGCCATGGGTGCGGTTCTGGAAGTCAACGGCGCTATCGTCGAAGACAAGTCCTGGCTCAGACCTTCCGATGATAAGCGTCATATCAACATAGCAGAGTTAGACGCCGTCATCAAGTCGCTCAACCTCGCTCTGTGTTGGCCAGTGAAGAACGTGGTCTTGCACACTGATTCGCGTACAGTCCATGGCTGGTTGACGCAGTTGCTGAACAACATTCGTCGTGTTAAAGTGAGTGGCCTTCACGCTACGTTGGTTCAGCGTCGTTTGCAGATCATCGACGATTTGATCACTGTATCTGGCATTACAGTTGACGTTGAATGGGTCCGCTCAGAGGACAATATTTCGGATCAGCTAACCCGTGTCCCTACCTGGTTCCGTGTGCCGGACAGTCCTAAGAAGCCACAGCCTGATGTTGCAGCAGCCGGTGTTACCGTTCGTGCTCTCCCACCTCTTGCTATGGGTGACATCGCCACTGCCCAAGTTGCCGACGAGGCGATCTCGTCCGTTAAGGCCCAGCTTCTCTCCGGTGAACCGATTCCCAACTCCAGCTACAGCAGAGTCCGAACCCAGCTGGTGATTGAGGATGATGTGCTGTTTCGCAGCGTGAAATCGCCTCTCAACGATGTTGAGCTTGTGCCTGCCCTTCCCCAGAGTCTTACTGCCGATGCACTTGCAGTCGCCCATACTGTGAGTGGTCACGCCGGTTGGGAAAGTATGTGGCGTCTACTCCGTAGCCAATGCTATTTCCCTGGTATGGCACAGCGCTGCCGTGACTACGTGTCAGAGTGCACTACCTGCCGTGCGGCAAATCCTGCTCAACCTTGTCTACCGCAACCAACGCGACCTGTAACTCCCGATGGTCCCTGGCGTGTTGTGCAAATTGACACGCTCGAGCTTGGTACCAACAAGTCTGGCCGATATCACTGCGTTCTTGTCTGCATTGACACCTTCACCAAGTGGGTGGAGGTCGTCCCACTTGTTCGCCATGATGCTGAGTCTGTCGCCGATGCATTTGTTAGTGTCTGCACTCGGTGGGGTCCTCCCCATGTTATCCGCTCCGACAACGGCACCGAGCTTCACAATGCCCTGATGTCATCCCTCTACAAGGTATTTGGGGTCAACGTGTGTTTTGGCGCAGTTCGCCACCCCCAATCGCAAGGTGCCGCAGAACGGTTCAACCAAACGCTGTTGACCTTGGTGCGGAAGGTCCTCGACGAGTCCAGTGATTGGCAGGTTGACCTAGCTATGCTCCTGTACTTCTACCGCAACAGGCCCCACAGTGTCACCGGTGTCTCACCTATGCAAGCAATGGTTGGCTGGCAGCCCCGCAGTCTCGTGGTGGATGCTACCCCAACAGAGTGGTCGTTTCCCCGCTGGACGGAGGAAATACAGCGTCGCGCCTCAGCCATGTACGATCTCCTGGAATCAGAGTTGTCGTCCTGCGATTTTGTCGAGGAGCCAACTCAAGCGTTCTCGGCTGGAGAGTCTGTTCTCTTCCGCCGTCCACACCGGCACCAGAAACGACTCCCCGAATTCGAAGAAGGTTGGATCGTCAAGCGAGTCGTTGGTCCCTCAACTGTCGTGATTGGCCGTGGCACAGCAGAAAAACTCGTCAACACAGAGCTGCTGAAGCCTGCTGGAAGTCATTCCAGTCGTATCCCTGAGCCACTAGATGTAGCTAGTATTATCGATGACGAGCCGTTGGACCATGTGCCTTTGGCTGGTGTACCTGATGACACCGCTGGTGGTCGTCTTCTCCGCGACAGAGCCCTGCTCCGTGAGCCTAGTAGGTATGGCTCTTGAGACCACTATGTTCTCTGCTTTGTCCGAGTTTGGGTCTGACTCGTGACTCTAATTCGTGTTTTGGCCGTCTCTGACGATTGACGTTTAATAGTGTGTGTCATAAATTTGGTTCTTTTGTTTTGTTTTCTCAATTTATTGGCTCCTATTCTGCGATAATTGGTACTGTTTTTTATCTTCTTCTCCTCATTTTTAGTGACAATTGTCACTAGGGGGCATGTACTAGTATCACGTTGCCACGTCACGTCCTAATATGACGTACTGGCATGTGCTTCAGACTCATTACGTGTGGGTGTGCTGTGCACGCATGCATGCACCCCCTGAGCAGATAGAGCTCTCAACCACGCGGTGTTCAGTGGTTGTAATTATTATTGCAATGGCATGAAGACAGTTTCGACTTTCTATTTCTCTTCCCGTTACTTTAATCCTATCATGCATTCAACTTTGTAAACCATATGAACTGAGTGGGTGTTCGTTGTGTCGGGTGCACTCTGTGTGCGTGCTTGAGATTCCCCGACATTCCCTAGTGGTAAGCGCCTTCTTATCTCCATATCGGACTTGCCATCCGACGTGATTATGGCACCTAAGTATTTAAACTGGGATACCTCTTCTATTCGCTCATTGCCTACTTGAATGCACCCCAGATCACCACCGCCCTCCGGCGCTGCCATTGACTTGGTCTTGGAAGCATTGATCTGCATGCCTAGTCTTGTTGCACTCGTATCCACGCGCTCGGTCAGGTCTATCAGCTCTTCCACAGACGATGCAATTAGTTTTGTTTTTTCACGGCTGAGCGTAGCGAAAGAGTGCAAAAAACGTATTTTTCACTCGCAAATATTTTCGTGCATTTGCTCTTGTTCTGCGCAACTCCGTTGAACCTGCCATCGTGGTCTTTGTTTTTCCTCGTGGTAGTTGAAGTTGCCCACCCTGGTTTCATGGGGGTCTTCCCCTGTTCTTCTTGATATTGTATGCCAATGTGTGTGGCTTATGATTATGACATACACTGGTTATTACATGCCATTTCTTGCTGTCTCTATTCTTGGGTCCGACTGGCAGCGGGGCAGGAATTAATGAAATAGAAAGGTTTTTTGGCCGAAAGGTGTGTTTTTCCTCTAGCCCGGTTGAGCGGTCGCGGCTAGGAATGTAGGGAGTCATTGTTTTCAGGCGCTCCCCTGCTGTCCAGTCACCCATGCTCACCACTGGCCATGCTGTTTCACTGATTTCACGGCCTTTTCTCCCGCTTGCTGGCGGTTCTTTGATGGATTTAGATGTTTTTCGGCTATTTATCTATTATGTGGCTGCGAGTGTGGTTTTTTGCTTCTACTCATTTCTGGAAAACCACCACGGTGGTGAGTGTGATTGCTCTGGTAGACCACTACCCCATGTACTGAACAGTCGCTTTGTGAGTGAAAAGATCTATATCATCCGCAAAACGTAGGTTGGTCACGCACATGCCGCCGATACATACTGACCCATCAAACTCCTCCAAAGCGTCAGACATGATGTACTCCAGGATAACGTTGAACATACAAGGCGAGAGTAAACAGCCCTGCCTGACACCCACTGACGTGGTGAACCAGTCGGTGATAGTGGATCCAACAACGATGGCTGCTTCAGTAGTAGCGTAAAGCGCTTCAATCAGGTCCACAATTCTTGCTTCGATGCCATGCGCTCTCATAATCTTGAATAGCGTGTAATACGCGACCGAGTGACAAGGCAAAACTGGTTCAAGTACGGCGAGCAGTGCAAGAAAAACTGGCAACGAAGAGCTAGCTTACTTAGGGGACAAGACTACGAATAGATCCAACAAAGTAAGCCTAGAAAATACTAGCACTACAAAAATGTAAATATTAAAATCGTAAAGTGGCACGGAACAAAGGTACTCAGCTTGAGTTGAGACGAGAACGGCAACGGCAACGTTCACTGCACGGCGAAATAACGAGGCGTGGTCCGGAATACTGCGACTGACGAACGCAGAGCTAACACCGCTGCCACCAAATGTAATACGCGACCGAGTGACAAGGCAAAACTGGTTCAGTCTCTCCGGCAAAACACAGGTAGTATTCTCAGGGAACAATATTGCACACACGGAACGACAACCGTAGGTGACACAGAATTACTTATAGTATATTGAAAGACTCAATAAGTGAAGGAAAGACGACAGAAACAACGGAGGCAAAGACTCTGCAACAACTGAGCTGGGCAACTGACACACGGATCTATATATATGGTACGAGATTGCCAGTTACAGCTCCGAGCGCTAGCTAGCGAATGAAAGCAAGGGATCTGATGGTGTCAGCAATGCATAGTGCAATACATAGTAATACATAGTGGTTTGTGTAGGGGGAAGTCCGTCTACTACACTACATAGTAATACATAGTGATTTGTGTAGGGGGAAGTCTACTACATAGCGCTTTGTGCCAAACCCTATCAAAGGCCTTACGGAAATCGATGAAGCAATGATACACAGCCTGCTGATGGTCACGGTACTTTTCAATTAACATTCTGAGGTTGAAGATTTGCTCCACTGTGCTTCTTCCCTTCCGGAACCCTGCTTGCTCGTCCGCCAGCAAACCCTCCACTTGCGGCTGCAGGCGCTTCAGCAAGATCCTCAGTAGCACTTTGCTCGGATGACTGATGAGGCTCACTGTCCTGTAGTTTTGGCACTGCCGAAGGTCTCCAGACTTAGGGATGGGAACAAGAATGGACCTTGTCCATGATGTTGGCCATCTACCAGTCGTCCATGGGAGGTCACAAATCCTGTGCATAACAGCCACCAACGTATCTCCACCATGTCGCAAAAGCTCGCCAGGAATGTTATCGAACCTCGCTGATTTGTTGTTCTTGAGGGAGTTGATAGCGTATTCGACTTCGGTCCTCAGAATGGGATTGTTGTTGGCATTATCTGACATGGCTGGAGTAACGATTGCGTCAAGGACTTTATCATCTACGTTCAGGTCCACGTTGTACCAGGCTATATTCAATTTGATGATCAGCAAAATATAAACCGTTAATTGCACACATCTTTAATTGCAGGCAGTGCTTAGTTCTGATGGGCCTTGCCATGGGGAGGGGAAGTTCTACCATATACTGTTCATTTTGTCTTTTATGTTCCTGTATTGTGTACTACTAGTCCTGGAGAGATGTGTGGGGCATCGGTGACTTTGCCTGGCTGAATGTTCAACTGGCACCATACACGGGTGGGACAGGTTATATATCGGGTGTGAGATTGGCAGAGACGGACGTCAGACCTCATCCACATGGCCCAGTAAGTGTGTGTGTGTGTGTGTGTGTGTGTGTGTGTGTGTATGTGTGTATGTGTGTATGCTGGCTGTACCTAGCAAGACTCCTATACAGCGTGACTAACTAGGATGACCAAGAAGGCTTCGTAAAGCCGGCAAAATATTACTGCTCAGTGTATGGAGCTGTACATAAAATGCAGTCATGGTTGTTCAAACGCCACCCAACCCCTGCATCTACGGGATACATGATTTCAGCCATGATGGTTCCGCTATCCACATGCCATGCACACATTCTACATAACATGCAGTCACGTGACCAAGATGGGCAGACCACTCTATACAGCTGGGCATGTACCTGTGAAGTCATGTACATCTTTGCACACCATTTTTGATGCCACGGGACATACGACCTTTACACAATAGACGAACTGTGTCTGGCTGTCTGCCTCTTGCTGTCTCTCTCTCTCTCTCTCTCTCTCTCTCTCTCTCTCTCTCTCTCTCTCTCTCTCTCCTCTCCTCTCCTTTCTTACACACCCTCAATCCCTGTCTCTCTCTTCACACATTTTGTCACTAGGTTGACACTGTTGGAACGGCAGTCATCATTGACCTAGGCGACCCAAGCGGTATCGTCCATCCACACAACAAGACTGAAGTCGGCCGTCGTATGGCCCTGCAGATGCTGCATGTTGCCCTCGCCCAGCAGTACCCGAATGTGAGTGATGGCTTGCAAGCATTGCGACAAGTCAATATTCGCTTTCAATCAACTGACCAACGAAAATTGTTATTAATATACGGATGTACTGTGATGGCCAGGGCTTCCCTAGTGTGCTGGACTTGCGTAGAGAGTCAACATTATCGTTTTTTGAACAGGACCCCTCGAATCTTCCAGTCAATATTCGTGTTGTGTCAAACTTCAATGGATATCCAAATTTTCCATTGTAACACAGTTAAGTATTATCATACTTGTAGTAGATTTACATTGTGTCAAAAGTTGTAATTATGTTTGAAACAACATAATCCTTGTGGTGATTATTCATCAGTTGAGGGTGTTGAACAGGGAAAACCCTTATGTTCCGCTAGACCTTCTCCTGTAATGTTTTCCGTATTTCTTTTGAATGTGTTCTAGCTGACATTCTCTGGACCGGAGTTCAAGTCTGCAGTACAAGAGAGGTAGGCCAGTGTTGCTGCCTGCTGCAGGGTGCTTGCTGTACTGTAGTGCTCTCTCAACGTGCTTGGCCGTGTAGAGAGCATACCGAACTACCAGTGCCATCCACCTATACTTTGACTGAGCAATGGCTGCCGGCTGTCACTCAGCTACCGGTTTCTTCCTGTTCCGTGGCACTTCTGCAAGTGGCGTCCTCATACTAGGTTGGGTTGTGTCTCTTTGACTTCAAAACTACAAGAAAAACAACGATGTACGGGGAAAAAATGGAAGCTTTCAAAACGTCTGAAGAAGCCATTGACTGTCACCACCAGGACTCAATTGACCAGGAGACTTCACTCAGTACAGATTCCCTACCACTAAGCTATACTGAAGTTGGTGTAGTGCAGATCACATTGTTCGTATGATCAAGGATACAATGTGGCGCAGCAAAGGAAGTTATCTCAATAAAGATCTTTTAGCAAAAAAAACGCTTTACTATTATTAGTTGGTGACATCTGGCCATTCTCTCCTGTACCTTGAGCTGCACAGTTGGAGCATGCTGTCAGCTCAGATGTACCTGTTTGACTCGGGGCGTAAAAGGCACCGCTAATCGGAACTCACTGCCCAGCTTTGCCCACGTTGTGTTCCATTCTTTTCGCTCTGCTCAGCACGGGCAACGTCGTTGTGAACTTTGACTACGCTGAAGGCATGTACTGGAATGACACACATGGCTGTAGCATGAATGAAGGATGCTGCTCGAACTACAGCGCTTTTGAGGTGAGCAAAGCCTTTTAGAAAATCTAAAAGTACTTGTATTGGCCCTATCTTAGAATATGTACCCTCTGTAATCGAATTCCTCTCTTCCTTTCCCGGGTTTCGGCACCAAATCTGTAATCGAATTCCTTTCTACTTTAGGTCGGACCCTAGAGCACTACCAATTCCGTCTGTAGGCTCCCTCGATCCCTCACGTCCACACACTCAAGACCCCAAATGCGGCTTGTTTACAGGAATTAGTCTAAAAGGAGAGTAAAAAGATCCACAAAATCCAGCCTGATGCCGCGAGGTTCATGCCCTCACGCGCATCAAAGAACCATAGCAAAAATGGCGCACAGCATGATCAGATCACATGATCATGCTCTGATCAGCGATTCAAAGCGAGTCAACATATGATAACTAAATTATTTGAATCTTTCGAAAAACTATGTCAAAACATCAGTACATTTAGAGAATTATTTGAACAAGATCGAAGGAGAAGATTGATTACTTTATAATGAACTGCAAATCATGCACTTCCATTACACCTCACCGCCTGATGACATACCCATTCATGCAATGAATACCTGAATGTCATCAACAAACTTATACTACACCTCACCGCCTGATGACATTATAAATAAAAGCACAAGAATAATAAAACAGAAACAAGTAAGGCAAAGAAGATGTCACGAACATACACATGACTTGAATATACACACATACGCACACACGCACGCACGCACACATACCCACACAGATGCGCACACGCAGGCCAACAACGGAAAGTTAATGACTATACCGTGCTGGTGGTACAATAGCAGCCCTATCACGCAAGCCATATGCCCGCATAACTGAGGGCTCGGCTGCTGGCAACACACGGACATACGTGGCACTGTCACTGTCATTCTCTGCAGCGGCACCATCTGCAGGTGCTGCTGGGGCTGGCTCTGTAGGCAACGCATTAGGCTTCAACAGTTCCACATTGACCGTTTTCTCACTAATCCGGCCGGTACTGGAGTTGGTGCTGCTGATGACAACGGTAGACGGTGACACGATATGCACTACAGACCAACCAGGTTCATATGGAGTCATCCGTTTCTGGTGACGTTCTGGGCGACGGAGAAGAACTGGGGCACCAACGACAAACGGACACTCACTCTCTTCAGCCAAAACAGCATCAGACTCGGCCACAGCATCATTGACAAAGTCACGAATCCGAGCGCACTTCAGTGATAGTTCAGCTGACCAGGACATAAGCGAACCTTCGACAACAGGACACTCTACGATCAGGTCACATGGCTCCCAGTTGACCATGGCCATTATTGGCGACATCTGGATGGCAGCATGGGGGCGAGTACGGTAGTAATACAGTAATACCTGGAGCTCTGTCAACCAATCAGACGACGAGTCAATGGTCTTACGGATCATATTCAGCAGGGTACAGTTAAAGCGCTCAGCGCTGCCCTGCGACTGCGGGTGGCGAACTGCGCCGTGGCGAATATGCACACCGAAGACATCAAACAATGCAGAGACATGGCATTACAAAACTCTGACCCATTGTTGCTGCGAATGACACGTGGAGGACCCCATCGGGTACACAACTCCACCAGGCCGGCAGCAACACTGGACGCATCATGTCTCTGAAGCGGAATAATTTCTGCCCACTTTGTGAAAGAGTCAATACCGACCAACACACAATAATACCTGCCACTATGACACGCACCCAACTCAAGGGTATCAATGTGGACTACTTCCCACGGTCGGCTGGGCGAGTCGGAACGCACTTTCGGAACTGGGCCAGCAGACATAGAGCTGGCACAACGACAAGGGCTGCAGTCTCGGACATACTGCTGACAACTCTCAGCTAGCTTGGGAAAATAGCACCGACGGCGGATACTGCGCCACATGGCCTCCCAATTGCCATGGGCAGTAGCAGAATGTGCAGACGACAATACCTCTTCACGGAGCGACATACGTAAAACGGGCACTGCGACTTCACCATCTATCGGGTCCTTTACACTGCGGTACAATACACCTTCAACGACTACAAGCTGATGCTGCACACGTTTGAATGCAGCCACAGACACAGGCTTACCAGCTACCAAGTCAGAGATAGTGGCACAAATCAATTCATCACGTTGCTGTTCAGCAGCTATCTTGTCAAGTGAGACAAAAACGGATGACAATGATGGCAACGGCACAGAACACAGAGATACCACACGTACCCTCATGGCGACGCTCGTCTGCAGACTTGAGAACAGTCTTGGCGAGAGCTGTCCATCGGTGCGGAACACGGGTCAGGCAATGGGCACGATTCTGCTCACTTTTCACCCACGCGATGGTGACCTTGAGCCCAGCAACAGCGATCATGTCCGACAGGATAGCCAAACGACGTTGCACCAGAAGGGCTTGCAGACCCGACACTTTGACACGGGACGCGTTCCGTAATGTAGCTTGAATCCACCCGTGTACAGTCTTAGAGTCGGTCAGGAGGTGCACTTCACTGACGATCCAGTCAACAGCCAATTCCAGAGCTCGGATGGCGGCTTCAAGCTCTGCGACATTGATATGCCGCTTGTCGTCCTTGGCCCTGAGCCACGCGCGGTCTTCCACTGTTACACCACCTGCTTCCAGGACAACACCATACGCCAGGTCAGATGCATCACACCACACTTGCACTCTACCGGTACTGACTGGAACATGCCACTGGCCACGCACTGGATCCTCGGTGCACAGACGAGCAGATAGATCACGACAGCACTGGTACACTACGTCAAACACTTCGCTGTCTTAGCTGCCACATTCGGATGACAGACGCTTGACGGAGCTGCATGCTGTACGTAACCACCCACAGATCGGGTAGTGATCAATGACGCGGCCGCACCAGCTAAACAGACTGCGCTTGCTGATACGCTCTGGTAGAGACACATCGATGTCACGGCGAACCCATGTCACTTCGCCGGTTGCATCTTGCTGCAACTGTAAGCCCAGCACTCGAGCTTCAGGCAGCTGTTCAGCAGGTTTCGTTGCGAGGCCGTACTCTGCCAATTTTGCCTCGGCTTCCACCTGGTGATTCTTCGCAACAAACACATCGTCGACGTAATTGTCGGCTCCCGGAACATCGCGCAGGACCCACTTGACTATGGCGTCCATCATCTTTGGCGCGACAGATAATCCAAAACCCATGCGCTGCATTACGAATCGTTTGCCCTTCCACAACACAATCTGGAAGCACTGAAGCTGCTCTGCTACATGAACTTGTAGGTAGGCCTTCCGGATGTCCATGAAGACATACTCGTGTGCAGGACCAGCCTTGCGCCACTTGCGCAGCTTTTCTCCACAGATAGGGGCCTCTCTGCCAGGCTCGGACTTCACAAGACGATTCAGCGACCGGTAATCCAAGCACGGTCGCACTGGAGTAGACTGTTTGTGCTCTTGGACCTGCGGGATGAGTGGCAGAACACACTGTGGGGGACCATGAACTGATGTATCGTGCGGGCCCAGCCAGCCGTTGTGGATCCACAGATCAACTTCATCTTGGAACAACTTCTCTTGCTCCGCCGTCAACTTATGGTGCGAGTATTCTCCGATACCCGACCCAACACTGGCTTCAGGACCGACGCCATCATTCCAATGCCATGTCAGTTCCCACCGGCTCAGTACATTATTCCAGCGTACGCTGCCATCACTCGTTGAAAGTGTGACGTTACCGACCTCATCCTCATCCACTGACACATACGGTAGTGGATGCTCTGACTTCTTTTCAGCGGCATGTGACAATATGACAATGTGTGAAGTGTGACGATACAATGTGTGTGTAGACAAACATTACGATTATGTATTTGTTGTGGTGACATCTGTCATCAGTGTGTCATGCCTCTTACCTCATTGTAGCTTCATCCGTAGTCCGCTTCCATTGTCCTTGTTCTATATTCTATTCTATTTCTTCTAGTGCTAGTCGTTTCACTTCTCATCTTTCCTTGAAGTAGTATATTTGAATTGTAATTGTTTTCCTGCAACGATCGCTCGTCGATCGTTGTGTTATTTATTTGTGTCTTGACTTCATTATTTATTTCGCCAGCGCCTGCAAGGCTGCATGCGCATGCTAGATTCTGTGTTCTTACATGACACGTGATCGTTGCCGGGGCCATGGCCAATAGGCGATCTTCCCGCCGCGGGCATAATCAGGCCATCAGGACCGTTTGACGTCATTTCGGGAATGTTCGGACCGTTTGACGTCATTTCGGGAATAATTTTTCGACCTTTCGACCTTTCCACCTTTGACCTTCCCTAATATGTTCCTTCGCGCTGTAAGAAATCAAATCAAGCACGCTCTGTCTGTCATGATGGCTGAATCTTGCCCTTGCCTGCAGCCCTCGGGCCTACGGCCCTTGGGCTGCAGGCTCGGGCAAGATTCAGCCATCATGACCTCCTGAGCGTGCTTGATTACATACTTCACGCGTGACTAATGATGTCATCGCTATGCCTTTGCTTGCTGCGCGTAGTCTTGTTGTTTTCTTTGCTTCGTTCGAGTTGCTGTTGCTCGACTTCGTTTTCTGATCTATTTTCTGCATTCAATGGTGGCCGTGATGGCTGTCGCTGCAATAGCAGCTTCAGCCACGACGGGCCTCTATCGGTTGCTCTGCCGCCATGTTGGACGCCATGTTTTAGACGTGTCTTTTCCTGGCTGAAGTGCTCGTGATTTTGTGTTCTTGTTGTTCTTTTCTTGTTCTCTCTCCTTTTCCAACTTGCATTTTTCGTGATTCATACATTTCCACCAAGAGGCTGCCGTTTGCGCTGGTGTGTTGTGTTGGGTGAAGAGGGGTGATAGAGAGACTAGATAGCTCCAGTTCTCCCACAACTTTGTGGTGCCGAAACCCGGGAAAGAGCCGGGAAAGAGCCGGGAAAGAGTCGGGAAAGTGTTTTCGGAGTACGAGTGTCGTAGTGATTTATTTATTTTGTGAGACGAGAGTTCTTACTGAGAGTTCCTACTGTGAGTTCCTACTGTGAGTTTCTACTGT